TAAACTAAGATGTCATCAAAGTATACCACTACAAACTTGCCTGTAAAAGACCAGAGCACGTGATGCATTAGCCGCATGAATGTACGTGGAGCATTGGTTAGGCCAAAGGGCATGACCAATCATTCATATAGTCCAAAATTGGTCTTGAAAGCGGTTTTCCATTCATCTCCTTCTTTGATTCTAATTTGATTATATCCGCTCTTTAGATCAATTTTGGAAAACACGGAAGCTCCATGTAACTCATCTAGCAAGTTATCCAGCCATGGAATTGGGTGCCTAGAATTACCGGCATTGCACAAGGACTCATGCTATCTTGGACCCAACCCTTAAATTTTAATTCCTCAACTTGCCTTTCAATCTCTCTAGACTCTTTTGGGTTTGCCCTATAAGCCGGCCGGTTAGGAATGGATGAACCAGGTAAGAAGTCTATTTGATGTTCGATCCCCCTTAGAGGTGGAAGCCCCTTAGGAGGTTCTTGAAAAACATCCTGAAATTCATCCAATACTAACTCTAGACTCTTGGACAACTTGGAGATTGTTCATGAAATGCAGGGGAAGAACCTAGAGGAGGATATGCTAAGAGTAGGGGTTTATGAGCTAAAAGTACTTTCTTAATCCCCTTGTGGGAGATCATGATGCCCTTCGCCTTGGAGGTTGACCCCTTCTCTTTTTTTTCTCTCTTTGTTTCGTTTTATTCTTTTCTCTTTTTTTGCATTTTTTCTTGGTCCTTACTAACTTCTTGAGGGGAAAGGGGTTTCAAAGTGATCTTGCGCCCTTGGAAGTTAAAAGAAAACTTGTTTGTATAGCCATCATGAAAGGTTTGTTTATCAAATTGTCATGGCCTACCAAGTAACATATGGGATGCTTCCATTGGCACAACATCACAAAGAACCTCATCTTTATAGTTCCCAATGGCAAAGCTAATGAGGACTTGTTTATTGACCTTTATCTCGCCTTCCTCACTAAGCCAGGAAAGTTTGTAATGCTTGGCATGAGGAGTAGTGGGTAAGTCAAGCTTGTCTACTACCCTCGTGCTAGCAACATTCACACAACTTCTCCCATCGATGATGAGTGAACACAATTTTTCATTAATAAGACAGCGGGTGTGAAAAATATTTTCTCTTTGAGTATTGTCAAGATCCTTCTGGACTTGACCCAACATCCGCCTTACTATTAACAAATCGTCTTCACTAGGTGTGATCTCTTCATCACTTGAGGAAGAGTGTTTAGAGGAATTCTCTTCAGATGAGGAGAAATGTTCACTCTCGACATCTCCATTTGCGCTCAAAATCATAGTCCTTTCGGTAGGGCAGTTTGAAGCAATATGCCCATACCCAAGACATTTGAAACATTTTATGGAACTAGTCCTTGGAGGCACGGAGGTGTTAGGAGTGGTGTTCCTTGAAGGGTTTCCCTTAAGGGGCACCTCTTGGAGAGCTTTGGAAGGGTTTCTCTCTGGTTTTTCCTTTTCCTTGCCCTTGTCCTTCCAATTTGAATTGTAGTAGTCATTATGCGAATAAATCCTTTTAGCCCCATCTTTTCTTTTCAATTGAGCTTCAATTTTAAGGGCAAGATGTAAAACATTTTCAATTGAGGAGTATTCGTATAATTCTTCTAAGTCCTGGATATCTCTTCTAAGACCACTAACAAACCTAGCTACCTTAGTCTCATTAGTTTCATCATGCATACCGGCCCTAAGTAGCAAAGATTCTAGCATCTTGAAGTAATCATTCACATACATATTACCCTGTTGAATCCATTGGAGCTTCAACAAGAGCTCCCTCCTATAGTAGGAAGGAACAAATATAGCGCGTATTAAATGTTTAATGTCCATCCAAGAAGCCGCAGGTGACCCTTGGTAATTATCGTTACAAACCTTATGCCACCAAGTCATGGCATATCCCTCAAATTCTACTACAACTAAATCTACTTGTTCTTGGTCCCCTACTAGGTTTACATTAAAGATTTGGTCCACTTTATCCTCCCAGTCTAGGTAGACTTCTGAATCATTATCTCCGTAGAACTTGGGTATCTTAATGTTGTTCCTTCTTGGAGTGTTGGTGCGCCTAGATTGCCTCCTTCCATGGTATCTCCTATCTTCTTCCTCTTGGGAACTTGGTGAGTATGAACGTCTTCTCTCTCTTTGGGACTTCTCAGCTTCTAGTCTTTGGATTGTCTCTCTCAAATGTCTTTCACTTTCCTTTCTGGACAATTTCATTTCTTTAATTAATTCCACTAGAGTTTGTTCTGTTGCACCTTGTATTTGTCCTTCATTAGATGCCCCCACATTGCTTGCCTTCTCTGATGAGGAATTTGACATGTCTGCAAAACAAGTTAAACTAACACAAAACACGAAAGATGAAAGGTTAAAATGTAAATCAAGTCACTCAAGTGTTTGGCTCCTCACACAAGTTTGATTGGTAGGATCACTCCACTCTTCAAGTAGAAAAATTTCTAAATGTTCCAAAATTCTCTTTAAAGTCTTAAAAATTTCTCTTGAAAAATGGAAATCAAATGGAAAGATGTACGCCAACCAAAACACTTAAGAGTTCCAAAAAATAGAAAACTTTCAAAGATAAAACTTAAAGAAACCTAAGACAAGCAATAAAAGCACAAAATCAAGGAAGGTTTACTAAGAGGGAAATTTAGATAAAACTTTGAACAAGACTAAAACAAGAAAAGCTAGAAAGAAATTTGAGAAGCACTTAAAACATGCAATCAAAATTTTCAACCAAGCACACACATAAAGAAGACTAAGGTTCCTATAATGTTAGAACTAATTTGCCAAATTTTAATCATGCAACCAAGTATTATGACAATTTCTAGAATCAAATCTTATAAGTGCAGAATTTTTTTTTTCTTTTCCTTTTCTTTTGTTTGAAGCAATAAGGTTTTGATCAAGATACCTTTTTGTAAAAATATTTTTGTTCTAACTTGATTCTAGACTTGCCAAAAGTTGTTTAAAGTTGCTAGCAAAAATTTGATCACTTAGTTCCTATGTTTAGGATCCTAGATCAATTCATCATGCATAGACTTAACTAATTAATTCATCATGCAATTTCAAGTGTTGGAAGCCAATAAAAGAAAACTTCAACAAGAGATACTAGACATATAACTCAAGCAAAGGCTAGGCACATTTAGAAAGACACTAAACTTAGAAGAATATGTAATTTAATCAAGTGCAGAATTTTTTTTTTTTGGCTAGGCATTTTATCAAACATCATACATGCCATAAAAAGAAACTTAGGTGAGTGTAGTATTGGACTAACCTCATGCCCAAACTTTTGAGTGCAGCACCGCAAACCAAATGACCACAAAAAAACCACAATTTAGAGCACAAAACCCAAACTACACAAGGAATAAAGTCAAAGCAACAATAAGAATACCTTACTAGAAACAACCTAAGCTCTGAATACCAAATGATGTGAAATAAAGTAAGGTGCATAATTGTAAGAAGATAAGGTGCAAAATTTTAAGCAATAAAGTAAGCAAGCCCAAGGAAAATTCCCACTGGACATTAAGATAGTTGCTTATCTAGATGTGAAGGTTCATTTCCAAGGATTATGGAGGGAGGAAGAGATGGAATAAAACTAGAAAAGAATAAAGACAAGGACTGGAAAATTGGACCAGCTCCTTGGATAAATAAATGAAGGGAAGAAATAAATAAGAAAAGAGGAAGAGAAGAGAATTATGGTGGTGATGGAGTGTTGGCACGCCACTAGGGGGGTGAGCCACCCTAGATAAGTGGTGGTTACCGCCACTTGAACCAAGGTTCAAGATAACACACTCAAAGAGATGGAACACTCTAAGAAACCTCACAAACTTTTCATAAATGTTCAACCTGATTACATGAGGGGAAGCCTTCTATTTATAGGCTTTTGGGGGAAGGACCTAGATGAAATTATAAAAGGAGATATAAACTTAACCTAAACCTAAAGGCTAGAGTCCCCATGGTCCAAATATGTTAAATTCGTTCTAGCCCACCAAAAATACCTCTAAGGGTGTGGAGAACATAAAAAAGATGTGTGTTTCTTTTTGGGTTGTCCCAAGCCAACCAATCCCGCATCCTAAGCTTCTTCCTCTCCAAAAAGGGGTGTAGGACATGAAAAAGGAGTGTCTAACACCTTTGGGCTGCCCATGCATGTATCCTATGGATCCAAGACTTCTTTTCCACCAAAAAAGGTGGTATTCTTCAAAAAGGAGGTGCAAAAAGTGAGCCTACAAAAAGAAAGCAAAAATAAGTGAAAAACTTAGAAAAAGAAAATACTAAGTAAAGATACTAAGTAAATACAAAATGGAAGGTAAAGAGGAGGCCTCCCTTCTAGTCATGCTTCTAGTAATCCTCCTAGGGATGACCTCTCCCGTCTCCGGGGCAATTAGGGACTCATCAAAAAGTAAGCATCAACATATAATTTCCCTGACGTAGGACTTCTCTTCTCACATTCCACTACAAGAATTTTACCTATTAGCTATGACACATTCCATGGCTATTTTATAGCTAATCTCTCGTTGGTATGTTTTGTTACAGATTAGCTACGGAATAACTATGAAATAGTCCGTAGCTAAATCCAAGTAGTTAATTAGATACAGATGTATTCTCTCTCAAACTTGTAGCAAATTTTTTCGCTAAACTGTCACTAAATCCCTCGCTAATTTAAATGATGAAATTTTGTTTATCTCTAGCTAATTTGATCTCCCAAAATTTGTAGCTAATTCGTAGCTAATCTCTCACAATTTTGCTCTTGCTAATCCGTAGCTAATCCCTCGCAATTTTGCTCTCGCTAATCCGTAGCTAATCCCTCGCAATTTCACTCTCACTGATTCGTAGTTAATCTCTCGCAATTTTTCTCTCTCTAATCTCTAGCTAATCCCTCGCAATTTTACTCTCACTAATTCGTAGCTAATCTCTCCCAATTTTTATCTCGCTAATTCGTAGCTAATTCCTGTGAATTTCGCATCACACCAATTTGCACAAAACGTATCAAAGCAATCAGTAACCAATCAAGCATTCCGACCGATTACAAAAAGGAAAGAACGTAAAATCCTAACCGTCTTGAGTAAAATCTTATCGTGCGAAGTTTTATCATCCCAAACTAGCAACAACACTCTCATCCCTTCTTCAGACTTACACTTCAGCAACTCTCCAAGCGTCAAATCACCTCGTGGGAACGTCCTAGTAGGCTCTCTAACAAGCTTCACCTTGTGGGAAATCGACCAACCCACCAAATACACCATGTGATGAGCCTCAGATATGGCATAACAAATACCCTCCCAACACTTCCCGTGCCTATAAACCTCTCCATTCTCAAGCTTTACCTCAGGTAACTTCCCTTTGCTAGATTCGGGACATTGCGCATCTTGATACAACCTTACTGAACTCCCCTTTCTCACTGGAAAATACGTGTTCCTCACTTCGCAGTGCTCCGGATCCGTTGCAATGCCTCGCTGGTAAAGCAAATTCTCCTCCACCAGCGTGAATTTCATCTGCACGTGCAACGCTGTGTCTCGCTTCGCCGGCTTCCCGAACGGTCCAATGATAGGAAACCAGTCGAAAATTAACTGGCCAATAGCAATCAGCCATGCTAGAATCTTCACAATTCCCATCGTCTGCACGCCAAAAACGCCGTCGTCCTTCACTCGAAACTCCAAATCCACAACTGGATGCGCGAGTGGGATGTGGAACTGCTCTTTCCACAAAGGGTCCTGGGAGTTCTTCAGCACTTACGTGTGTGCCACGTCGCCTACGACACTGAAACTGTCACATACGGGCCGCTCGTGATGATCCTCCTATTGTGGCGCGTCCGCTGGCTTCCATTGTGGGCGAAGATGTCGTCGGAGTGGAATTATAGTGTCACATGTTACGCAGCGACGAAGATGCTCCGATAAGATGTCCATGTTCGGTAACTACCGTGCCTTGATGATTTTCAAATCAAGGTCACCACCATGAATATAGATGATGCCATTGTCATTGTTGTTGCCAGTGACCGCCATGGAAAATGTGAGCGTTAGCCCGTGCGTCGAGTGTATATAGTTTTGACTTTACACCAGGAGCGAAAGAGAGTGTTTTAATATAAAAAACAGATAAGTACTAAAGGTTTAGATAAAAATTATAAAAAAATATTATTTATAAAATTTTTAACTAATTTAAATATAATTTTTTTAAGAAAAACTTACAATTAATTTTTGTTGATATTTTTTAAAAAGATCAAAATTATTTTTTATAATTATATATTTTCATAGAAATTTACAAGTATTTTTTTAAATAATTTTTTGCAAAAAAAAAACAATACAGAGAATAAATAATTTTTAGTAGAAAGTTGACTTATTTGTAAGAGATATATAAAAAAATATCTAGTAAATTTGAATTGAAGATGTGAAAGAATGATTTCCAAGTAACTTAATATTCTTTTTAATTTGATACTTGTTATAAATTTGCTACAGTTTAGCTATAATTGTATGTTACATAATTTAGTTAAGAAATAGCTTCAAAAAGTAACATAGCTAACATTTATAGCGAGTGATTAGTGATAAAAAATTTTCTAGCTAAATTATTTTTCTGTTAAGTGAGGGAATAACTACAAAAATATTAGTCTTCTAACTATTTTACTACAGATTAGCTACAACCTTATTCCTTTACTATTCCATAGCTAATTAGCTATAAATTAGTTAAAAATAAATTTTGTAGCAAATTTTCCTAGCTAATTATAAATTTTCTTGTGGTGTTCTCACAATCTCCCACTTGAAGATTTTGATTAAATTAATCAAATATTCACAATACATTATTATTGTCTTCTATGTTATTATTGTAATAGACTTTCAATAAGATCGTCCTCTATGTAAACTTGTCGCTACTAATCACCTGTTGTAAACTTGTCACTGCTAACCGACTTTCATAACATTTGTTAGGTTCTTTTTGCTTTATCCTGAAATACGAGACATGATTCCTTACAATGTACAAGACACTCTGACTGTCATAATACACAACAATTTGTTGTTGCTTGTGCCCGAGTTCCTCAATTATCCTCTTAATCCAAATAGTTTTCTTACATACCTGGGTGGCTGCCATGGACTCAACTTCTGTAATAGATAGAGCTACAACATCCTATAACTTAGATAACCAGTTATTACCTCTCCAACAAAGGTAAACTCATGAAGATCACTTGCAAAACCTGAACAAACAGCATTTGACAACTAGTTTTGATCTACCAAAATATAATATAATATCCAAGGTTCATTTGATAAGAATTCTTTTGATAATACCCATGCTCTCTACCACAATTTGTCATTGATCTACTAACCACTCTCACTGCTTGTGTATGTTTGGTCTTATACTGATCATGGTATTCATAAGACTTCCCACCATTGATGCATACGGTACTCGAGACATGTTCCGTTGATCTTCCTCTCATCATCATCAAAGTTTCTGCTTGTTTGGAACTTTCGCCCTTACTAATCCTCCTAGATACTTCTTCAAGAATAGTTCCGGCGACATCCCCAAAGTGCATATTCCCACCAATATTATTCTTTGTAATATTAATGATGAGTTGATTATACGAATCAAGTAAACTCTAAAGTAGAAGCTCTGCATGTTCATTTTCAACTATGGTGAAATTTGCCACTAATAGTTGGACAAACAAGGTATTCAAATAGTTGATGTGGTTCGTCACTGATGTGGAGTCACTCATCTGAAGAGTATAAAGTTTTCTCTTCAAGAATATTCTTGTGTGAAGTGAGTTCACCTCATATAGTTTAATGAGGGTATCCCAAATCTCCTTCGCAGTAGTCTTCTTCGCAATAACATTGTCGTTCATTTATTTCCATAGTTATTCATTTGTGTGTTCCACGGTTCTTTCCGCAATTGCATCAATACAATTGTCCTTTTTCAAGATTGCATTTATCTTCAATTTTCACAATGAGAAATTACTCTTATTGAACTTCTTTATCTCATATTTTGTTGTCATAGTTTCAAACCGACTTATGCAATCTTCACTATGAATAGTATTTCCGACTGGAACAATAACGGTAGACTGTGAACCAACACACCAGGTAAGTTCCTAGGAAAGAGAGGTGAGTCACTAATGGATACACTTAAATGTCAAGTTTTTTCTTATCATAACTTTCCTAGACATGCATTTTCACACTACCAAATAATATCTAGTACCAAAGATAACTCTTTTATGATGTGGAAGATTATATTAACCGCAACCATAAAACATACTAAGAATTTTTTCTAACACTATTCTAATGACTATGTAACAGAAGACCAATATCACAGCTCAATGGCTCTAATATCAGACAAAAATATAAGCACACACAACTAAAATTAAAAAATGAGAAAAACATTGACAATAGACAAAAAAATAATTCTACTAATGAAATTACAACTATTTTTTCTCTACCCACAAGGAGGAAACAATAATATTCTCTCTTAAAAATAAAGAAAAAATAACTCTAAAAGAACTTAAAAGAAGAAATTATTTTTCTTTATTAATTTATCTTTCAAAAGTAGCAAGAAAAAAATAAGAAAATTTTTTTAGTATATTTTCCAAGATAAATATTATATTTCTTTTATAATAAAAATATAAATATCAAAATAAGATTTGTCATATAGGAGAATTCTATTCCCACGTTGTTACCCTTTTAATATATATAATTTTTATTACTCATTACTTTACAACTTATCTGTTTAATTCGATCAACTTCTCATTTTGTTAGATTTCGATGCCATCATGACACTCTTTCACTATTCATATTCTTCTAGTCTTAACTATTCTAATAATAATAATAATAATAATAATAATAATAATAATAATAATAATAATAATAATAATAATAATAATAATAATAAAAATAAATAAATAAATAAATAAATAAAATAAAATTGAGAAGCACGTAATGTTTCCTTGGCTAACGTTGCAACTCAGTACACCACAAATAAACATTTTGAAGTCAATGTAATGAATGGCATGGGGCCAGATCTGAAAACAACAACATGTTTCAATGAGTACAAAATGGAAAGTGATGAAGTCAAAGTTGGAACCCACAAGAAATAAATAAAGCTGAAATTCATCTATATAATTTTTCTTTCGGCGTTAATAGTTGATGAATTAGTCCTTTTGCATTCGGAATCGATCAACATTAACTATGTATGAATCAAGAGACTCTTTCCTTCTTCAACTATTAATTTCCGTTCTTCAATTCACAGACGCAAACTTTGACGTATGATTATAAAGTCTTGTCACAAAAGTTTAATTATTCTCTGTTTACTAAACCACATTTTTTAGAAAATAGATATTAATATGTAAAATTTATTTGTCTCGTTTATTAAAATCATAGTAGAGTAATTCGTGCAAGATTTATCATTAAAAATATAACTAAAAATATAAAAATGAGACTATTTTAATATCATCACAACAATAGCATCGTCCAGAATTTTTGTTCGTCAGGTTTTATTTTTAAAAGATATATCAATAAAAAATAAATATATATATATATATAAATTATTATTTATTCCAATTCCTAAACAATATAAAACCATAATAAAATAATTATCGTTAGAAATTATTTCATCTTCTTCGTTCATAAGCATTATTATTTTTTATTTATTTTGGATGATTCCATACCTTGTTTATATATTTACTAGAAATATCTTGTGTCCTTTATTTATGGTTATTAAAGGATTGTGCATATTAAAATTTTGCACCTCTTTTATTTTTCTCCTTTTTCTATTTTTGTTGGTGTTTCTCTTAAATTGTTCGCAAATTGACTAGAATTTTATTCCCCTATTTATTGCTATGATATTATTAATCTTTTATTTTATTATTTTCAAACATCCCATCATCACTTTCTTCGAGAACCAAATCTTTATCCAGAACCTTAATTTAGCATTTTTTTTGTTTGGTTTTTAGTTTCCTTCAAGGGAACGTCATATACTATAAACTAACAGTAGGACTGTTTAATTATTTAATTATTCATCGACCTTCGTATCTATATCATGTCAAATAATTCAAACTATTGTTTGTAAAATAAGATATCAGAGTGCAATTAAGATTTTGACTCAATTATTTCATTTACATTAAATATAAAAGAGATTAAATAGAATAGAAAGTGTATTTGAGAAGAAAATGATATAATTTTTTTTATTTACAAATCAATAAGTAAAAATTAATTTATGATATAATTATAAAATATATGTTTATTTTGAAAAATAATAATTTTATTCATATTTTATCTTTTATATAATTAAAAAGTAAAATATTAGATAATAATGAAAACTGGTATTCATTTTAGGATAGAATGCGTTTTTTAAACAAAAATTAAGATAACTTTTATATTTACTATAATTTTAAATTATTTTGTTTGATTTTTATACAATATCAATTATTTCATTAAGATTTTAATTGGTAAAAAAATTAAACAAAATATTTTAACTTATTAAACACAAGTATTCATTAAATAATTATATCAAAACATTTTTTTATTATTTTCTTCATGAAAAAGATTTTTCACATTTATATACATATTAATTAAGGGTGTTCAAAACATTGAACTTAAGATATTGTTTAAAATTAACGGTGTTCAAAACTAAATCTGATAAAAAAAAGGGGAAATGATAAAAAACTTGAAAACTAATAAAAATCAAAATTTAATTGATTTTTTATTATTTTATTCTTAAATCACATAGTTTTATTTAAATTTCGGATTAAAAGGTAAGAATATATAGCTTATTATATTTCACTTATAATATTATATGTTTAATATTAACTATAACTTATATTATTTATAATTTGATTATATTTTATTTATAATATATTATAACTTTAAATTAAAAAATTTCATTATAAAATTATGTAATTTATTTATAAATTTAAGAAAAATAAAAGTTATTGATATAATAATAATCATGAAAAATTAAAATATTTTTATTTATTTTATATTTTTCATTATAATTGTTTTTTAAATTTACAATTTAAAAAAATAATATTTTTATAATAATAAAAAAATCAAACTAAGACAAATTTTATATTCAATTAAAAAAAAAAATTAAATGTTAGGTTTGGTCTATTATTAACCCGCGAACACCTTGAAATAACATTCATTCTAGAAAAAAGTTACAACAACACTTTCTTATTTTTTGTTCTCTAATTTCTTCATGCAACATATTCATTCATGATTGGACAGTTCCACAAAACTATTTGATTTCATAAAGTCATAATTAGTAAATTAAAAATTAATTACATTCTACTCTAGCTGCATACGTAGAATTAAAAATATGCATTAACATTATTTGATTCTATCAAATACAAACAAATCAATTTTATTTCATGAAGTCACAATCGACTAATTAAAAATTGAGTATGTTCCACTATAGCTACTCATACGTAGAATTAAAAATATTAATTAACATATTATACTTTCGAGGATTTTATCAAAGACAAACAAATCAATTTTACTTCATCAAGTCATAATAAATTAATTAAGAATTGAATGTATTCTACTCTAGCTACTCATAATTATAATTTATTATGTGTGTGAACATATTTTACGCCTTTGATTTTATCAAAGACAAACAAATCAATTTTATTTCATGCAGTCATAATTAATTAATTAAATATTGAATATATTCTATTATAAATTACTCATACGTAGAAATCAAAATGTGTGTTAACATATTTTACATTTTTTATTCTATCAAAGGCAAACAAATCACACATAATAATCAAAGAAGAAGAAAGTAAAAGTTCATTACAATGACATTCAGATTTTGACTAAGATCTTGATGGCAATTTCATACCTACATTTTCGTGCTTATCAACCTTAAAGTTTTTAATATTACCATCTTTAATTTTTACAGCATATATATATATATATATATATATATATATATATATATATATATATATATATATATATATATATATATATATATATATATAACAACCATTTTTAATCAACAACCCTTCCATATACCATTAATTGGTATGCCCTTTTTACTTTGAAAGCTTAAACAATTACTGTTTAGTTCAATTCTTTCTACCCCATTTTTGACACTCAATTTTATTACAAAGAATTTCATCTCCATTTACCTCAAGTTTAATAATCTATGCCAACAAGTTTTACCAAATATATCTAGAAGAAGATAATTGCTTTCGAGACTTACACATCATCAGAATAAATTTTGTTTATTTCTTTCAAGACACACCCATCACAGAAATAGATTTTACCTTTTTCAGTTAACTTTTCTCCATACATATTACTATATAATAATCGAGTTCTCACAACATGTTCCTTTCATTATAAGTTGAAATATGATAGTTTTATTAACAATGAAACTTCTCACTGTGTTCAAGGAACTCGGTTATCTACATAGACCAAAATGTTTTTTCAAGACCCAGAAAAGCAAACCGTGCCACCCATTCTGACTTTATCCATCCTCAACGTAGGACATCATAAGGCACACGACCTTTAAGTGTGTCTTTCTTAGCTATCAACTTGCGTAAGTTGACCATATCTCCCTTTTCATTTGCACACCTTCCCCCTCATTTCGTACAAGCACCAACGGTCAACTCATTTCATCTGCACACCTTTCTCAGCCGTCAAACCCAACCCACCCATATTATATAAATAATGCCAAACGCAAACCCGTTATACACACAACACATATAAATCACCCACTACACTAAACCAAATACCAATATCTTTTGCTACACACCCAATTGAACCCTTTTGCTCCAAAATCACTTTACTCATTCCTTCCATTTCTCAAGGCAAAAAATATCAGTTTTTTCTTCTACTATGGCTAGTGGTGGATGCAGCAAGGGACCTGTGAGAGTTGTGATAATCAACACCCAATACGTTGAAACCGACGCAACGAGCTTCAAATCTGTGGTTCAGAAGCTTACGGGTAAAGACTCTGACACTTCAGGAACAACGACGGAGAGCAAAAGGCACGACAAAGGTGAGGTTCAGAGGTCGTTTTTGATGAGAGATGTGTCGTTTAAGGAGTTCGATAGGTTGCTCCGCGAGATGCCACCGTTGAACGACCTCTGGGCTGATTAAACGACTTCGTTTTCTTCTGCGCGCAGGTGTATGTACATAGATACACTTGTTTGTATCTGATTAATTGATTTGACTCAATTTCAGTGTACACCACGTACACGCATACACATACATATACGCACATTATCGTTGGAGGGGTGTATATACGCATTTAGAGCTTGTGGACTTGTATTTGTTGATTTAATCATTTTAATATTATTTCAGTATATATACATTGATGTTCCTTAATGGTTGGGTTGCTTCTTCTAAATATATCTATCTTTATCAATGCTATCGATTAATTAATATATCGAGTTTAGACTAAAAACATCGTGTCAAAGATTGTTTCTTGATTGAAAAATAAGGAAGGATAAAAAGAAGTAAGAACTAGGTTAGTTAAAGGCTCCACCAAGAACTAATAATATACTATGAAACAAATAAAATATATGTTTTTAGTCTCTTAAAAAAAACATTAATTTTGAAAAATGTTACAGTTTATTAATTTTTGGAAGGTGTATAACCATCGTAAAATATTTTTTGAATGTAGACTTAATTGTACATTTTATTATTTGATTATTATTTTATAATTTTCTTTATCAATTTTAAAAATTTTTACGTGTTTTGTCAATTAGTTGAATGATGACATGAAATAATTTAAAAATAAAACAAGATCAAAAAATTATATTTCACTACAAGAAAAAATCATTTTACCGACCGAAAATATCAATCGCTAATGTCAAAAAATCGGTCGCAAAATAGCGACCGATTTAAATCGGTCACTAAATCAATAACAAAGTTAATTATTTCTATTTATTTACATTTTTAATTATATTTATTAGAAGTTTAATTTATTATTAGATTTATTATCATTGTCGGATTCAAACCTGATACCTTAGAGTTGGAGATTGAAACTCCAACCATCGAGCTACTAGGATTTTTTAATAATAACTTACAAATAAATTATATTTATATACAAATAAATGTATATCCGTATAAATATATAAATATTAAATCTATAAATAAAAATATATTTATATATTTTAATATATATTTAAATATTGATATATTTATACATTGATATATTGATATATTTATATCTTTATATTTTTACATATATTTATATCTTTATATCTTTATATTTTTACATATATTTATATCTTTCCATATTTATATATTTATATATAAATATATAAAGATATTAGTTTTGTATACAAATAATATTATAATATAGTATATTATACTATTATTATAGTATACAAATTATATATTAGTATAGTATAGTATACAAATTATTAAATTTGTATAAATATATATTTATATTAAAAAAATTATATATTTATATATTTGAAAATAAAAATTAAATATTAAATTTTAAAAATAAATATTTAGAAAAATATTTAAAAATATATATATATAAATTATATCTACATGTACAAAATATTAAAGATATATATTTATATCTCTACATATTTATATATTTATATCTTTATATTTTATATCTTTATATCTTTACATATTTATATCTTTATATCTTTACATATATTTATATCTTTATATCTTTATATCTTTCTATATATATATATATATATTTATATCTTTATATATTTATAAAATCTATAAATATAAATATATTTATATATTTTAATATATATTTAAATATTGATATATTGATATATTTATAAAATCTATAAATATAAATATATTTATATATTTTAATATATATTTAAATATTGATATATTGATATATTGATATATTTACATATTTATATATTTATATATTTACATATTTATATATTTACATATTTATATAGTTACATATTTATATATTTATATATTTACATATTTATATATTTATATATTTACATATTTATATATTTATATATTTACATATTTACGTATTTATATATTAATATATTAATATATTTATATATTTATTTATAATTTTATAACTTTATATCTTTATATACTTATATATTTAAGAAAAAAATTAAAAATTTAAATATTAAATTTTAAAATAATATTTTATTTTTAAAAAATAATATTAAAAAAAGGTTTAAAAATATATATAAATTATATTTACATGTACAAAATATTAAAGATATATATTTATATCTTTACATATTTATATATTTATATCTTTATATATTTATATCTTTATATTTTTACATATATTTATATCTATATATATTTATATCTTTATATTTTTACATATATTTATATCTTTCCATATTAATATATTTATATATAAAGATATTAGTTTTGTATACAAATAATATTATAATATAGTATATTATACTATTAGTATAGTATACAAATAATATATTAGTATAGTATAGTATACAAATTATTAATTTTGTAATTTATATACAATGAAAATAATATATTGGTATATTAATATAGTATAATATATTTGTATTCTAATTTTTAATTAAACTAAAATTACTCTAATAATGTATAATAATATATGAGGGAATAATAAATTTAATCCAATTACTTTTATAAATATATAAATATAAAATCTATAAAATATTAAAAATGATATTATATTTTTAAAAACAAATAGAAAAAGGATTAAAACATATATAAATTATATTTATATGTCCAAAATACTAAAGATATCCATATTTAAAAAAATACAAAATAATATTAAAAATTATACTTTAAATTGACGAAAATATTTTAAAAAAGTTATATTTATTAAAGTATTAAAAAATATTCTGTAATATATAAGTTAAATATTATCATTAAATTTTTTAAAAATTATTAGTTTTGTAATTTATACACAATAAAAATAAATTACAAATATTATAATATAATGATATATTAATATAATATAATATATTTGTATTCTAATTTTTAATTAAACTAAAATTACGCTAATAATGTATAATAATATATGAGGGGATAATATTGATATATTTATATATATATATATATATATTTATATATTTATATAATGATATATTTATATATTGATATATTTATATATTTATATTTTGATATATTTATATATTTATATTTTGATATATTTATATATTTATATTTTGATATATTGATATATTTATATATTGATATATTTATATATTTATTTATATCCTTATACATTTATATCTTTATATATTTAAAAAAAATAAAAATTTAAATATTAAATTTTAAAAATAATATTATTTTTTAAAAATAAATATTAGAAAAAGATTTAAAAATATATATAAATTATATTTACATGTACAAAATATTAAAGGTATATATTTATATCTTTACATATGTATATATTTATATATTTATATCTTTATATTTTTTATCTTTATATCTTTACATATATTTATATCTTTATATCTTTACATATATTTATATATTTATATCTTTATATATTTATAAAATCTATAAATACAAATATATTTATATATTTTAATATATATTTAAATATTGATATATTGATATATTTATATATTGATATATTTATATATTTATATATTGATATATTTATATATTTATATATTTATATATTTATATATTGATATATTGATATATTTATATATTTATATATTGATATATTGATATATTTATATATTTATATATTTATATATTTATATATTTATATATTTATATATTTATATATTTACATATTTATATATTTATATATTAATATATTAATATATTGATATATTTATATATTTACATATTTATATATTTATATATTAATATATTAATATATTAATATATTTATTTATATTTTTATATTTTTATATTTTTATATCTTTATATATTTATATATTTAAGAAAAAATTAAAAATTAAAAAAGTAAATTTTAAAATAATATTTTATTTTTAAAAACAAATATTAGAAAAAAGTTTAAAATTATATATATAAATTATATTTACATGTACAAAATATTAAAGATATATATATATATATATATATATATATATATATATTTATATCTTTACATATTTATATATTTATATCTTTATATATTTATATCTTTATATATTTATATCTTTATATTTTTACATATATTTATATCTTTATATTTTTACATATATTTATATCTTTATATTTTTACATATATTTATATCTTTATATTTTTACATATATTTATATCTTTCCATATTTATATATTTATATATAAAGATATTAGTTTTGTATACAAATAATATTATAATATAGTATATTATACTATTATAATGAAAGTGTAGGTTGATGTATGCATGAACAGTGATGTAAAAAAAATCAGTGACCTTTTAACTAAAGTCTTATCAAGATTTTTCTTTAATTAATATTAATAAGGACTTTTTTGAAGTAAGATCGAGTGAGATATTTACAATTGATACTTAATACAATTATTTTAGGGACATCAATCAAGAGTAATTTTTCAATGTCATTAATTGTAATTTTTTTATTAATATTATTTTCATCAAATAATTTATTATAATAATATTATTATGATCAATTATTATATATAATGTATTGTTCTATCGACACAATTTTGTCATTGAAATGTGTCTTAATGGGTTAAGAAAAAATAATGTATATAAACTATCTCTGGTTTCGATTCCTAATTGATGTGGGACTCATAAGTATACTGAAACATAGTCTCTTAATTGAGGACTAAGAGATATGAGTGGAGCGAGATTCTATCTTTAATCTCACAGTAGACGTTAAATGTTTTTATGAGACTAGTGGAGGTCAACAAGAGGGTGTAAGATTGGACTAAGGAGATCGATAGATTAGATTGAGTTGCGACTTTAATGTAGTTGAAAGTATCTTTCTTTGAAAAAGAATAGAAGTTCACTTGCAAAGGACACTTCGACACATTCAAGCATAAGAGAGTAGTGTATTTTAGAATGAATAATAAGGTAAGATTTAGGATTTACTCTCAATTAGGGACTAAATTTCATCTTATCACTCATTATCAAATACACTACTTTCTTGTTTAAAAGTTGATTTGAACATCGATCTGAATTTTACATATAGGTCTATTATAACACTTTAAAATTTATCATGTAAAAATGTACAAATAT